GGAAGCGACTAGCCCAAGACGGCACCGCTGGTCACAGTGGGAGACCAGCTTCCGGGTTCTTCCAGACACCAAAGTTCCATTAGCGAGCACACAGGGTACTCAGGGAACATCCTAGCTTTGACCTGTTTCTAATGATGCAGAATTGACTTTCTGGGGGTGGAATTCTGATGTGTTCTTCGTGATTTGCTGGGGGGAAGTCTGTTCCTTTTGGGAAAGAGTCGAAGCTGTCTGCTGGATTCTGTCATCTCTGCTGTTTTTGGCCATTTGAGGGCAGGGTGACCATGCCTAGGTCCTGGAGGTGTGGCTTCCAGATGGCGCCTACCTGCCGCCCCCATTCATTGTGTTTGCAGCCAGTGGAAAGCCAACCCGGGAACCAAATGAACTTATGGTTGGCAAAACTGGGAGGCTGAGTTTGGGAGGTGGGTTGGGGAATGAAAGGGTAGGGTTCCTGCTATAATAAAACTTGCTGATACAACGTTGAAAGTCATTGTGTTACCCTCACCCCAGATAAGTCACACAACGGGCGGTATCAGGGTGACAGAGCTTCCCCCCCATGAGAACACAGTGAGATGAACTTTGTGTGGCCTGGTCGGGTCAGAGAAAACCAAGAAGCTGTGGGTTCGAAACAGCCTGACTGTTAAGCTGTGAGGGATTGCTGAAATCGTGGATGACTGTACAGTACTGACAGATGCCTTGAAAGAACGATTAACGATGTGGGAAAATGTTCATCAGAGAAGATATTTAAAGATGTGGGCTACAGAATGACAGAAGGTGTAAACCCAGACTTCAGACTCAAAAATGTGTTTCGTATGGATGTGTGAGTGTGGTGTTTAACAGCACGTCTGGCACACCTGGGTCAAGGCTGGCCAAGCTCTGCCACAGAATGGCCATGCGCCCTTGTGGGCAAGCCCCAGACCTTTACAAGCTCAGGCTTCTGGTCTGTGCTGTGGGAATAGTACTTTAGCTCCGGGCTGTTGTGGGAATTGAGTGAGATGTCTGGGCCTTCAGGAACGGGGCTCCATGCCTCCAGCCTTGACCTCCCCAGGCGAGTCATGGCATAGTGGCTAAGTGGTCAGACCAGACCATGTTATCTGTTGCTCCAAGCCCATCAAAGCCCCCAGTGCCTCTGGAATCTGGACACACATACTGTGTGGGCTCACCACACCACATTTCTTGCAGTTTTTCCAGTGCGCCATGCCCTTTCCTGCCACCAGACCCTTGCCCACACTGAAGTAACTCTTGGTTTTTTTTGTCTCCCTAAATAGACTGGGCTCCCCAAGGGCACCTTGTCCCAGGGCCTGTGTAAATGTTTGTCGAATGAATTGAAGAGGTGGGACTTGAGTTGGGCCCTTAGGAGCTTCGTTCCAGGAGGCTGGTAGGAGCAATGGTGGTCACTGCTGCCTGTTCAGGGACCAGACCCACTAGGCACAGCAGAGATTGGCAGAGGCACCGCCTGCCCTTGAGTGTTCCTTGTTGCACAGGACCCACCACACATTGTAAGACATTTGATCTATGAGGTTTGATCGGTTTTGATACTTTTTATAGCTTGGGGCCTTGTGCTGCTTTATAAGAGAGATCCATTAAGACCAAGCCTATGCGGTGACAATGTCCGTAGGTAAGGCAGCCGGCATTGTGCTGATGTGAGACGAGAACTGGAGTTGGAGGCGGAAGGCATCCTGGTTTCTGTGTTCGGCCTTTCCACTTGCTAGATTGGCGATCTTGAATGGAGTGACTTAAGGAAGGAAGGCAATGCTTACCAGAGTGTTCCAAGTTACTGCTTTTACGCACCGTATTTTCATTAGTTCTCATAGCAGGGGTGCGGCTCAGAATGTGATGGGCCATCCGTGCGTGATTGGTGTTGATGAGCTGTAGAGAGTCGCGGGGGCTCGGGCAGACAAGGAGAACATGTCCTGTTGGAAGGGGAGCGCCGGCCCCCACCAAGTTTTCAACATTTTTTTCCCGGTTTTATTGAGACATAATGGACATATTTCACTGTATAAGTTTGCAGCATGATGGTTTGAGTTATATATATGTTTATATATATTGTGGAATGATTCTCACAGCTAAAATATATATAACCTCAAATTTACTGTTTTAACCATTTTTAAGTGTATAATTCAGTGGCATCGAGTACATTCACAGTGTTGTTCACCTGTGACCACTACCCATTCAAACACTATTTTTTTTGTGTGTGTTTTACTAATTTCAACTCATTTAATCCTCGCTACAACCCAGTGAGGTAGCTCCGATTTTTAATCCACTTTTGAGAGTTGAGGCATATGAGTTGCAGAGAGGTTAAGTAACTTGCCCAAAGGCCAAAAACTAGTTTGTGTTGGAGCCGAGATTTGAACCTGAGGGAACCCAGCGTTGTCAGTTGTTCTGATTCTTAAGAAAAGTTGGAAATAGGGAGTTTTTAATGTTAAATTTCCTGCTTTCAAAATGTATTGATCAAATTAACCAAACAAAACACTGCTAGGGTCCAGTGACATCCATCTCCACTGTAGGCTGGGCATAGTTGTCCCAGTAGCTCAGTGCTGACTCCCCCTCCCCCCACACCTCCAGGACCCAGGGAGATCATGTGCCTGAAAATCGATTGTAAGCTGCGGAGAGCAATATAAACGTCAGCCATGGGGTTAGTAATAATAGTAACAATAGCCAATATGTGTACTGAGAGCTTCCTGTGAGCCAAGCCTGCTCTGAGCACTTCCATCCTCACGAGAGCCCTCCGAAGTCAGGATATTGTTACCCTCCTTTTGCAGGTGAGGAGACGGAGGCACAGAGAGCTCAGGCACCTTGTCTGAGGTTGCACAGCTAGGAATGGGGTCAGGATTAGAACTCAGGCAGTTGGGCTCCAGAGTGGGCCTGAGACACTGTACGTATTGCCTGTGCTTGGGCCCAACGCTGAGGAATTCCCAGGAATGGGGAAGTGACACACATCTGTGAAGTCCTGACAGTGCCAGGCACTTGCTCTCACTCTGTGACATTTAGCCTTCTCAATAGCCCCGAGGTGCTGGTGGCCTTTCTATCTCACAGATGTGGATACCCAGACTCAGAGAGGTCTAGGGCCCTGCCAAGATCACACGGGGAGGGAGTGGCAAAGCTGGCATTTCACCTTGGATTTAAGGGAGCCCACAGTCGTCTCTCTTCCACATGGGAAGGTGGTCATGAACTGATTTTCAGTTTATGAAAAAATACCGCTGAGAAGGGCAGTAGGGAGGCTCTCGGGTAGCTCTGTTGAAATGACTGAGCTAGAGCAGTTTCCTTTGGGGTGTGTTTCAGTGGCTCTTGGGGGTCACATGGGCCTAGGTCTAAAGCAACTTGGGGACATGGGCTGGGCAGCACTGAAGTGGGTCTTCCTGGGGTGAGCGCCATGCTGGCTGTTGCCCCGGTTTTCCTTCTTCTTCCTTTTCCTGTGACTGCTGGGCTGGTAGCATCCCTGCAGGCCAACCTTGCTTAGTCTCTCCGTGGTGCTAATTGAATTCGCCACAGCCCAGAGTGGTGTTTTCAAGGTTGGCATCTAGGAGGCTTTGTCGGAAGGTCTAGCCAGACAAAATGTTGCCTGCCGTTCCTGTTCATTCAGCACCGTTCCCCTGAGCGCCTGCTTTTGTGCCAAGCTGTGTACTGGGTACCAGGGGAGTCAAAATGGAGTGGACTGTCCCTGTTGTCAAAGGACTCATGATCGATCTGGTGGGGACACAGAGGGGCAGCAATGCCACCTTTAGGGAGGAAGGTCTAGGCAGCAAGCAGGACGTGACAGACAGGGAGTGGGACGGGAGAGATGCACCTGGAGGCGGCTCTGGGAGAAGAGCCTCCACTGTGAGTCCCTTGAGCGAGTGCTTACGGGTCTCATCCATCTTCCTCTCCCCAGCACCTCGCTCCGGGACTGCTGGGAATGCATTTCAAGGTTGCATTCAAGGTGTCCAGTCCTATGGGACAGAAGGTAAATGACAAGTGAAACGAAACTCCATTTGGGCCCATGTTTGTTGTCACACGCCACTTTAATTTCTTCCAAACACGTGGAATAGGCAGACCTATACCAGGAGGACAGTGAATCTCGTGGCCATGTAGCTGCACATTAGGTGTGGACAGCAGCCTTGGAGCCCAGCAGCATATGGAGGTCCAAGGTGAAGGCCAGCATTCTAGTCAGAAGTCGGATCCCTGCTGGTTCTTGGTACTTGGTACTCAGTACTCAGTACTTGGTAGGCACTTGACAGCGGTTCACAGATGAGTGACTAGGACCTGCTGGAGGAGCGGGTAGCTGAGGCTGGGAGCAGCCCTCTGCTGCCCGGAAGCGCTCAGTAAATACTCCTTAATCATTTCCTGCCTGGCAGGCCCTGTGGTGTGCCTAGGAGAGCTCTGGTTCGTGTGGGGGAGGGGGTGCTAGTCATTTGTGTGGCCTGACCTCCTGTCCTCTGGCTCTCTGGGAACTAGGGTGGCGGCACCAACCTGCAGAGGCGGCAGTGACAGCATCGGCGTGGGTAAATAAGCAGTGGACACAGCCAGGGAGCCTGTTGCCAGGCAGCCTCTGGGCTCAGTGAGCTAAACAGAAGCATGTGACGCACCCTGCGGGCAGCCACCCAGGGACTCTGGGAGCTGGGGGCCTGACTCGGACACCTACCCAGATCTCCCCTCCCCCACTCTCTTCAGAGGAAGTGCCGCCCCCAGTAGGTGGTGAGGACCCTTCCTCACCCCAGTCTCGGGGATCTTTGCTTCGACTTGGGTGTTTCTCTGAGCTCAGGCGAGACGCTTAGCCAGGAGCCTGGGATTTGGTCTTGCTGAAGCTGAGCTGAGCAAGTGGGTTCTGGAATGTTCAGGGGCAGCCAGAGTGTCCATGTGTCCAGACAAAGGGGGCTGTTTAGGGCTGAAGGATCCATTGGATTAAAAAAAAAAATGCAGTGTGTTGCAGAGTTAACAGGTGGTTGCAGTAGAGACGGGGTTGGCTTGTAAAGTGGGGGTGCTGTTTGTTCCTTGGCTGTTGTGGGACCATCTCTTATCCCTTTTCTTTTTAGGATCAATTAAGAGTCCCCTAGGGTTCTGAGGATACCTGTGGATCTATCTCCTATTTTGTGGGGGGAAAAGAAGGGGTGTTATGGTCAAGAAAGTTTGAAGAACTCTGAGCTAACCAAAATCAAACAGGTGTCTATCCTGCAGGACTTCTAAGAGCCTTCGGTATGCTTATGACTTTTTAAGCGGGAGGGGGATATAAAATTCTTGTTTTCCTCAGGTTTTTGTTTTACCTTGTACCTGCTTCTCTTTTTAGAAGTAGCTCACGAGACTGGTGTTTTCAGGAATACGATGCAGGAAACTTATTCATTCACGCAACACATATTTCTTGAGTACCTACTATGTGCCAGTGACCATTCTACATGCTTGGGATATATTTAGTGACTAGTTCAGACCAAGAGCTCTACCCTGGAGGAACTTACATTCGTGCAGAAGCAATGAACCGATCTTCATGGAGCACCTACTATGTGTCATACAGGCGAATTATCACACTTTATCCTGTTTCACCCTCACCATAGCTTGGTCAGATAAGTGGGCCATTTTACAGATCGGGTAACTGAGGCTTTAAGCGGTAAAGTGACTTGCACACTTTGGTTGAATTGTCCTTTTTGGATTATGCCTTTGAATTGCAAGAGGAGCTGGTGAAGAAAGGAATGCGTGGAAGAGACATCAGGGCCTGTGGTGGGGGGATTCCAGGCCTCACTGCTATACCACCATGTTCCTTTACTGAGGTCCGATGGAAGCTCTTCTCTGAGGCTCTGATTCAGGTAGGGAAAGACGTGCTTCTTCGGGAACAACTGGTTTGTTTTCTGTTCTGGGCACCGAGAATCTCATGGCTGATCATGTTTCTCCTTGGCTGTAGCCACTAAGCACCTGAGAGCTAGATTTGTGGCCCGTCTTGACACTTCTGCAGCAAGAGGCCATATGGCACATACTTCTCTGTGTGATCTTACCCCAGCTTTGTTGTTTTCCCTACACTTCTTTTCTCTTGGCCTGATTGCCTTGATTGTTTATTTTATTCTTTTACGTTGTTTGTATTATTCTAAGCCACCGTAAGTCCTTGGTGGATGGAGCTGAGTATAACTCCATGTAAAAAATAGTGGTAAGATGCCTGTGTGAGATCCCCAGCGAGCCTGTGGGGAGGTCTGTCCACCGCATGGCGCTTTTCCCCATTAGGACCCACCCCAGGAGCCAGGTCTGTTTGCTTTTGCAGCCACTGTTTTGTGGGTGCCACAGGAAGCCAGGCTGGCTGGAGTGGCGGTCTCAAGTGGCTTGAATTGACCTGACTGTCACACACAAGGCTGAGGAAGGCTCTGACTGTGGATTCCTTTGGGGCGGGGGTGGGGTGGGGGTGGGGGTGCTCGGCTGCTTGTGGTGCTTCGGGTTCCAAGCGGGGTCAGAGAAGGACAGGAGGAGCAGGTGGCACTGAGGAGGAAATGAGGCCTGGGGAGATTAAATGACTTTCCCCACTGGGAGATGCCTGAGTCTGCACCCCAACAGAAAACCAGATGGCCCCAAGGAGACCTCACCGAAACTTCTGTGGGGTAGGTGGCTGCATGGGAATGGGAAAGAGTTTAGGATTCTGCACTTGGACCAAGAAGCTTGAGTCCTGGCCACAGCTGTGTGCATATGGGTAAGCCACCTTTCTGAGTTCAGTAGCCTCATCTTTAAAATGGGCACCCTAATTCCTGCCCTGCCAGCCTCAGGGCACTGTTGTGAGAAAGTGAAGGAGAAGATGAACACGGAAGTCTTTGGTGGGCAGCACTGTGCCTGTGTGTTGTGTTCTGCCTGCGTTGTGTACACTGCTGCTGCTTCTGGTAATAATAATAGTAACGGTGATGATAATAAACATTTCAGGAACACTGGCTTGTGTACTGGTCAGTGTGGTAAGCTTTACAGACATGATCTGAATGATTGCCCAAAACAAGCAGATGAGTAGGGACTATGATAGCCCCTTTTTACAGGTGGGAAAGATGAAGTCATTTGCTTAAAAAAGATTAAGCAATTTGCTCAAGGTCACAGAAGTGTTTGTTAGTAGAGCCATAGTTGAACCCAGGCAGCTGACCCTTCAGCTGAACTTGTCACCACTGTCATATAGGAAAGGGCGGAAGCCCGGGACCTTTTTGATCTATGCATCACCTAGTGTGGTGTAGGGACAGTACGGACCATCTGGGGCAGGGAGTTGGTGTGGGGGGACGTGGTCCCCCGAGGGACAGTAGAACCTGGGAGCCTTGGGTGGCTGAGCTCATCTCTGTGCTATAGACAGGTTTCTCACCTGTAAGATGGGGCTATAATAACATGTCTCATGGGGTTAAATGGGAGAGGGGGTGCATAGATGCTTGCACATTGCTGTAAAAATGTCTGTGATTTGTAAATGACATTCTGCAAACTTGCAGAGTAGATGTAAATTAGTTGGAACGGCCACCTCTGTTTTTATGTATCATCTCTTTGCTTTTTTTTTTTTTTTTCTGATCACTCACTCCCATTATCTGGCAATAGGTCATCTCCGGCTGGGCAGTAGCATCCAGCCACTGCACTCTCGCCACTCTGAGCAGGCCACGGAGCCTTGCTGACCCTCCTTGTTCTTAAATGCGAGGGGGGATGCTACCGGTGCTCTTACCTGCATGCACCATGTCTGTGCTCTGTGGGACACAGACAGCTCCTTGCTGAGGCCTGCCAGCTGCTGAGGCCTGCCAGCTGCCAAGTCCTGCTGCGGGGAGGGACAGGGATGAGAGTGAGTGAGGATAGTCCAGTGTGTCCTGGTTTTTCATAGAGCTCTGGGCAGAGACGCCAGGCTCAGCCTACTTGTGAGGCTGTCAGGAAGCAGAAAGCCATAAGACCCTGTTGGACTCCTGGGAAGTCTTACGGTTTTAAAAGTACTCTATAAACTGTAATGCACTTTAGAAATGTAAGTTAGTTCCTGCAGTGACATGGAAGAAAACAGTGATGGATCTAGCTGGCTAGGATGGAGAGATGTGTGTGAATTTGATTTATTTCTGATGAAAAAGAAACTTGATACTTATTTATGTGAAATTTGGAAGTAGAGAAAAGCCCAAAATGGGAAATAAAAGTCATCTCTAACCCTAAGAAGCTATATCATTTAATATTATAGTGCATATGTATTCTTCCAGGTTTTTTTTTTTTCCCCTCCCTCTGTATATGCAAAGGGATTGTAACTCTTTACATTCTGGAAACTTCAACACTTACTTGTTTTCTTTGTCCAGCCACTTTGTTGAGAATCCATTTTGCAAAATCCTAGTATAGTGCCAGGGGTCACTTATACCCCAGGGATGTTGCTGGGCTTGGGGCTGGGAGCAGAGGGGCCGGGAGAGGCAGGAAGCCCTGGGTCTGCCGCCAGAGTTGGAGAAATCTTAAAAGTGAATTCTCTGGGATGAGGGAGTGGGGGCGGGGGG